GAGGCAGGAGGATCGTTGTGAGTTCGAGACCAGCCTGGGCTACAAAGTGAGCTCAAGGCCAGCCTGAACTGCATAGCGAGACCCTGCCTCAAAAAGACAAATAAATAAATAAATAATAAAACCTGAATTCCTACATCACATCCTACAAGTCTCTGTTTCAAGACTTACTTTTGAGAATTACAGTTCTCTCCAGGTGTAGTGGCATAAGCCTGTAATCGAAGTACTTGGAGGCTGAGATGGGAGAATTACCACAAGTTTGAGGCCAGCCTGAGCAACATAGTGAGTTCAAGGCCACTAAGAAATACATAGTGAGACCCTGTGGAGGAGGAGGGGGATGGGGAAGAGAAGGAGGACAAGGAGAAGGAAAAGAGGAAGAATTAGGATTCTTGGCTGGAAGTGGGGAACGGCTCCATGGTAGCACTCACTTAGCACGGTACAGGCCCTGGGTTTTATCCTCAGCACCAAAAAACCACAATGATTATAGGAAGAATTATAATTCTTGAAACTCCACATTCACCACTGAATAGTCTATATGGGATGAACACCAACTTCAAGTTAAAGGATATGTCTTCATTTGTGTCTCCGTTGTAACTGTTTCGTGTACTCTCTCAGCACACCCTAGACAGGGAGGAAGAGCAGTACCTTGTAATGTGTGCGACTCAGGCAGGAAGGCCTCCCTACCCAGGCCTAAGTGAAATGGCTCAGTCCTTCTCAACACCCACAGGGGAGCTGGAGGAAGCCTCAGTGGGAGGAATCCTCAAAATGTGCCACACACCGAAAACCAACCAATATTTATGTATGTCCTTGTTTCAGAAAAGAGAATGGCTGCTGTTGGCCAAAGGGGAACCCATGAGCCCAGGACGCGGCCAGAGAGTGCTTGCCAGTACTTTCTATGTGATCATACCATCCCCCTCCCTCACGCTTCTGCTGAAGGCGGTAGCCACGCGGGAACTGATGCTCCCCAGCCCCTTTCCCCCGCTGCCTGACGACCCACCTGAGGACAGCCTGAAGCTCGTGGAGGTAAGCGGAGCTCCGGCCTTGTGGGACAGACAGAGAAAAGGGAGAGGACTGAACTCCTGAGGGAGAGGATGCGGGGAGTGTGGACAGAAGTCGTCCCAGTGGATAGGAAGTGGGGGTAGAGGAAGTCAATGCTTAGATTAAGGCAGCAAGGTGAGAAGTGATATAGAAAGTTGACTTGAGGGAAATAAAATGTGAGGAGAGAAAACTCAGGAAAAAGGTCAGTGAAGTGAATGACTGAGACTGAGTGCCATCCTGAGAAGCATAAGACACGTGTGTGTGTGTGTGTGTGTGTGTGTGTGTGTGTGTGTACACGCGTGCACGCACACGCACCCCTGAAATGTGACTAAAGTGAGCACCACTGGTGGGTAACTGTGAGGGAGGAAAGGAGATGTGTCCCAGAAGGGAAAGCAGGTAGCAAGCGTGGGAGAACGGAGGCGAGGGAAGTCGGCACAGGCAGGTCCGGCTCCAGGTTCTCGGTTATGCAGACCTGGTTTGTCCCTCCATCTGCTGGCTACCCTGCCCCTCTTCCATCTGCAGTTCCACCACAGAGAGGTAAGTGAAGCTGGAAAAGGGTGAGAAGTGCATTAGAGAGGAAAGGGCCAAGGCAAAGGCCGACTGGGAGGCAGAGGAAGGGAGGAGAGGAGGCAGTAGAAGGAGACGCCCAGGAAATACGAAGCTTGGAGTGGGTTTTTGTGTCTCTGTGTGCGTGTGCGTGTGCTCAGGTTTTTGTTTGTCTTTGGTGTCCCTGAGTGTGTATGTGCTGAGTCTCTGGATTGGTGGCAGCACAGCGGAGCCTCGGTGTGTGGCTCCACCAGTGCACACCCACGTGACAGTATGTTATGTCTAACTAGCCACAGTACACTTGCACATGTGCATGTACTTGTGTTTGTGGGCGTCTATGCCCGCTCATTGGGAAACGTAGTAAAAGGCAGCCAGTGTGGGTACAAGGATTAGGAAGGGCCTCGAAGTAAGACCCTGGTACAAAGGAGTAAACAGCTCTGCAAGAAGAGTCTCCTCCTCTCTGTGTCTGGATTCTGTGTTTCCCGCTGGCTTCTCTGGGCTGGAGGGGCAGGGGAGGCTCTGGACAGGGAGAACTGGAAGCACATCACTGCTGGACCTCGGGCTGACGCGCAGAGGACAGAGCCTGGGATTGTGCTCTCCATCTGGCAGCCACCGGAGACAGAGAGGTGGGCACGAGCGGCCGTGGCTCACTCCGCGTCTCACTTCAGGGCCAGTGGTTCCTGGCACAGGATGCTGCGGCCGGAAAACCGGACTGCTCAGGAATGCTGTGCTCCTGCGCCCCTCCCTCTCTCCTCCGCTCACCTCAGGCAGGAACTGCATGTCCTGGCCCGACAGACGGGAGCACCCCGCCCCCCTCTGCTCCCACACTGTCCCCCTTGTGCCCTCCTGGGTGCCCCCACCCCTCTCAGAAGCCAGTGAAACACTTCCTGGGCTAGTGTGCTCGGAGGCCCTAACCACACGGGGTTGCCCCTATCTCTCTCCTTTCGCCTGACACTTCACAAGCACTCAGACCGCAGGCAAAGCACCCCTAGGACACATGGACTTCACAGGTCCCACTGCAGCCCTGAGTCTCAACACCTCCTCCAGCCTCTCATACTCCCTGGTCTCTTCAGGGCAGCTGTGCTCTGTGACCTCGAGTTCCCTGTTGAGGGTTCTCCTCTCTTCCTCAGAGCACGCTGGACAGCCTGGAGCTGGAGTCCTCCTACAACCCCCTGCAGGTTTGGAGCCACCTGTACTCACAGCTGAGCAGCACCCTTGCCAAGCCTCAGGGACGGCTCTGCCCAAGCTGGGAGAGCCGGGGCCCAAAAAAGGTATAGCTGTCCTTCTACCCTGCACTTCCTCATTTCCCTCCCTCCTCTTTACACCCAGGGAGCCCTCCAGCCTCAGCCCCAACAGTGTCTTACCAAGGGAGCACCCTCCTCCCTGATCCCACTGCAAGGGGCAAGGAGAGCCGGGCCAAGCACGAGGGGGGAAAAGACCAGCGAAATCACTCCTGCTGCTAAGGAGGCTTGTCTGCTTAGGTATTTACACATGGCCATGCTCAGGTGTTTTAAGTGTAGTCTTTATGGTAACCCATTAGTCAGCTAACGGACCATTGCCTCATTAAGCAAACTGGCTACACTGGAATCACAACCATAGCTCTCTCGGAAAGAAAAGGCCAAAGGGATGATAGGAAAAAAACTGCTCAAGGGAAAGGAAAGTGATGTTTACGGAGCACCAGTATTTGCCAGATTTTACAGTGAGTGCTTTTACATATTTTCCCCACTTAATCTTCCCACCATCCCAACAAGGTAAGGGTTGTGCTCACTGTACAGATAGGAAGAGGGAGGCCAAGGTTGGTAGCTTGGAGATGGCTCTGGTGACAAGGGTTGAAGTGAGAAGTTGAAGGTGAGGCATTTGTATGAGGTCCATGTTCTATAATATTTAGGCTTCCTTTTGCCCTTATGAATTTTTGCCTAACTCCCCAGTAGCAAAGCATTTAGAAAACTCCCATTTTTGTCTTAGCTAAAGTTACAGAAGTAGGTTGTGTCTAAATTCAGCCCATCTAGAAGGGAGTGCAATGCTGCTGCATGCCACAGAGCCCACTCCGGTAGCTTGGTGGGCAGCTGACAGAGGAGGCACCCTGGGCGAGAAGGCACTGGAAAGGCTGCAGCCCGGGGGACTCCACAGTCACTGCCCTGGGCCGTGAAGGTAACACCAAGGATAGGACGCGTGAAGGAGTGAGGACAACGTGCCCAGCAGTGAACGGGATATGGGCTTGAAAAACTATGGTCCCAGAGAAAGCTCTTGTTGCTCAATTTGCAGGCTGGGCAGCTGCCAACCAACCGAGTTCGAGCCACAGTGGTCCCCCTGCAAGTGACTCCAGCCCCAGGCAGAGCCCCCAGGATGCCAGCAGCCAGCAAATCTTCCTCCGAAGACTGCTTCCTGCTTTCGGAACCAGAGGATGAATATCCCTCCCAGCCGTGCGTCACCAGCACCAGAGCACAGCGCCCCTGTTCAACCACGCCTATGCCCATGCCGAGGCTTGCAAAGTAACTCTCTGTGGTCAGGTCTGCCTTCGCCCCACCTAAACCTCAGCGAGCTCACGCTGACCGAGAAACACAGGCTCCCCCTCCTCTGTCCTCAGTGTCCCACCCCTTTCAACACACCCAAGCCTGCCTCTCCCCCAGCAGGGGCTTGTTTTCCTTTGGCTCACTTGATATAGTACAAATGAAGATTAAATGCATAGTGAGCCTCCACCATTGTTAAGGATCACTCTTAGCCCACAATTCCTTCTCTTAGTTCCGTGTAAACAGTAGGTGAGGTCAGGTCACCCTCAGGAAACCAGAACTCAGGAACAAGAGTGAAGTTTCAAAGGCCATGAGAAAATGAGGAGAGCTGGTGCCCTTCCCAGTACACCCACCACACTGCAGTGCCCTCAAGCTCCAGACAAGGGTTCGGTGCTTGGTACCCACGTGCACAATGGAAGCGGAGGTGCGGTATCACATAGCCAAGGGCAGGGAAAGGATGGTGTGAGAAAGGCCAGCTCCCGCGTCTCCTCTCACACCTGCCCACCTTCTGTCAGCGCCCTCCTTGGACAGAACAGCAGGTACCATTTGCAGACACTTGCTCTGTGCTTCATAATACGCTAAAGGCTTGAGCAACGTATGCATTTCATACAAAGCACCCTATAATACAGAGCTGATTTCAGTTCTGACACTTTACAGAGGGGCAGCGGGGGAGACCGAGGGTTGCGAATGTCCTACAACTGACCCAGGGTCACGGTGTGAAAGCCCAGCCAAGGTCAGTCTGACCCGACTACCTAGGTCACGGACTGCCACCTTGCAGGGTTCCCTCCTGGGCCCTTTTCTCCTTCCATGGCCCCCAACACGTTCTGGTTCTCCGCTTGATCCCCACATCCCCACCCCGCATACCCTGCCCCCGTGTCACCTCTGTGCCTGTTCACACACAGAGACCTCTTCAACCCAAACTCACTTTAATGCAAATCTTTAAAATTTTAAAAATATATCTCTGGCGAAGAACAATACAAGGGAGTAAGGATCCAGGCAGCTTCCACACAGGCCCTGGAACTGCACCCACTCTCACCAAATGCCCACTTCCGAAGACCTGGACCAGCAGCTGTCTGTTCCTTTGGGAGAGGAATGGCTTAGGGGTGCTGGTGCTCCCCAGAGCCTGGCCCCCAGTTCCACTTCCTAGGACTTCCAGGGAGGGCCCTCCCGCCTCTGGTTCCTGCTCATCTAACAGGACTTTCGGATCCCCAGTGCCACCTTCCTATGGTCCTCTTATCAGCTAGCTTTTCAGGTGGAGCCCTCTGACTTGACCCCAGTCCTGTCAGCACCTGTCCTGGGGGGCCCACAGTCCCAGCCCCCCGAGGCTCCACTCTTCTGGACCTGGCTATACAAGGCAGTGTCTGAACTCTGGCCTTTGCCGCCACTGCCGGCTGCAGTACCGGGTTCGGGGAAGGCCAGGCCCTGGGGCTTGGGAGCTGGGAGGGGCTTTGTGCTCCGATGGGGTGGCACAGCATAGTCATCAGTGGCAGGGTTGTAGGGGAACTCGTAACCCTCCTCCTTCACCCGAGCCTGGCACCACCAGGCATCCTTGGGCTCCTGAGGTAGATCATAGAGGCCCCGAGGAGGGGCCGAGGCCAGACCCTCGGGCTCATCATAGATGGGGTCCTCTTTGGTGTTTGTGAGCTTGGTCTTCTGCAGCTGCTGCTCCACATGCTCATACAAATCCCAGTAGAGACGTTTCTTCACCTGTACCTCCTCTGCTGCCCGGGAAGGGGTACTGTCTACGGGGTCTGAGTACAAGGAGTCCCGGGAAGGACCTGGAGGAATGCGCAAGGAGTCTAGGGGCTCAGCGTACAGGGCCAGGGTGCTGCCTTGGAGCTGTTGGGGACTGGGAGCAGAAGCCTTCCCTTCTGCCACCTCCCCTTCATGGGAGTCAGCTCTGAGGACATCTTGACCCTGTCCCACTTTTCCCTGGGCCTTCTGCTGACGGATGGCGGTCTCAACTGCCTGAAATATGTCATTTCCTTGGACGGTCTGGAAGGTGAAAGTTCCAGGGCCAGAGGGGCAACGGCGACCAGCCTCAAAAGAGAACATGACCTGCGGAAGGTACAGAGGGGAAAGGATTACGGGAGGTCAGAACTGGTGAGTCACAGGGCCCAAACTAGTAAGCGCTTCTACAAGGGGGGGGGGGGACGCGACAGAGGGTGGGTCAGGGTGGGTGAAAGGAAAGAGCGACCCAAAAGACAGAGCTTCCAGCCTTCCTGTCCTGCCCCTCCCGGCTTGCAGCTGTCCAACCCAGGAAGCCCTCCCTGACCATGCTCCTGGGCAGCCCCTGTACCTTGTCTCGGCCGTAGCGGCGCAACAGAGTGTAGGGCCAAGAAAGAAGCGGTTCCAGGACCTGACCCTGGGCTCCCAAGGTCAGGAGGGTCAGCCTCTCAGCCTCCACCCTCAGCACGTAGGGCCCATGCAGGTCACAGCGCTCAGAGGCCTCTGTCTTCTGCACGGTGACCCAGAACTGGGATCCTGGAAGGGTACACAGTTAGACAGGCCCCTGGGAGGAAATGCACTTGGGGCAGGGGCAAGGACCATGAGGACTCCAGAACAGGGAGAACTCATCTGGAAAAGTCAGACACCAGAGGCTTCTCCACGAGCCCTGCACCCTCTAATCACCCGCTCCCCAAGAGCACTCCTTCCAGTTCCATCCCTGCCGGCTTCTCAGGTATCTACCTTCCCACGTAGGACTGTACAGTGAGTTCTCCAGCATCTCCAAGGCAGAAAGCTTAGGTGGGTCCGTGGCCGGGGCCAGAGCCCAACTTCCCTTCTGTGATAAAGAGATCATTGAGGACCCTGTAACTCCCTCACTAAGGCCCCGGGGTGGAGGGTGGGGATCCTGGGCCAGCCAGCTCCCCGGCTGCCCTAACTGCCCTAACTGCCCAGCCGCAGCGCCTTAGGCCCAATGCCATTCGCCCCAGCCCCTCACCGGAAAGGCATTTCGGCACAACGTCTGCACCCAGGCGGCGCTGGACGGCGCGTCCGCTGCCAGCAGGTGCGAGCGCTGCGCAGTGTCCAGGCGGAAGGCAGCCGCGCCGGGTTCTGGGGGGCTTTCCACGGCCACCGGCGCCACACTCACGCACTCGGCCAGACGGATCACCTTGCAGTCCAGGCGGCGCGAGCCCCCTCGACCGCCTCTAGAGCTCGACCCCTTGTGATCAAAGAACTCGAGCCGCGCTACGCCGTGGGGGCTGGCCGGATAGAGCACGGCCCACGTCTTCCTCCATTTCTAGGGAGAGAGCAAGGGACGCGGGGGAGGTAGCGAGAGTGCGAGCAGCACGCGCCCAGACCGGAGAGGAGGGAACGTGCAGGTCCACTAGGGGTCCGGGGCTTCCCAAGAAGGGGCAAAGTTCCCCAAGCCCCAGAGGGTGCCATCCGGTCTCCCTGAAGCCAAGGAGGCATAGCCCGACCCTACATATTCTCTCCACAGCCGCGGAGCAACTTGGCGGGAGCCTCTCCGGGCTCTCCCAGCCCCCACCCCGCCCTCTTTCTGGACCTTTCACGCCCTTCTGGCCTCGTGGGGTTGGGAGTCCTCTGCCCCCCGCTACCTTAGTCCCGAAGCGCTGACTCTGCAAAAAGAGCGGCCCTTCCATCACAGCCCCGTCCATGTCCCCGGGCGGCTCCTTCGGCGCTTCCTGGCCCCGCGGGCGCAGGGCTGGAGGCGGGGCCGGGGCGGGGCGGGCCCGGCGGAGGCGCTCCCCGCCCACGCCGTCGCCTCTCGGGCAGTGAGAATGGAGCCGGGAGAGCTTCAAGGAGGAAAAGACTAAGGGTCCCCAGACACGCGGGGGGCGCACCGCCTCCGGGCCCTGCCCGCCGCCCTGGGAGCGCACACGTGGCTCCACCGAGGGAAACTGCGTGGTTTCAGCCCGAGACCCTGGCGCCCGGGCGCCGGGGCTGCGTGTGACATCAATACTCAGCGTGACATCAGAGTGAAGGTCGTGACATCACCTGCCGGCTCCCTGGGGCACCCGACAGGGCCCAGTCGGAACTCCAGTCCCCTGGCCGGACCCGCCCGTGGCCCAGTCGGAGTAGAACTGTTTATACCCGCCTAGCCAGGACGTGGAGGAAGGGCAGGGGGCTGGAAGGGTTCCTGCCGCCACAGGGGCCACCGCCCAGGCCGCTCTGTCGTCCCATAGCCGCTTGAAAGTCCAGCTCCCTGACCGCGGCTGCTCGGCCTCCAACCTGCGGGCAAAGAAAGCTTCATTGAGCCGGGAGGGTCAGGGGAAGGGGGGAGGTGGCGCTGCCGCGGCCAGCTCCACGGGGGAGGGGAGGACCTAGAGGAGAGGAGGGAATTGGCCAGGGAGGAATGGAGGGAGAAAGCGGAATGTGGGAGGGCTCAAGGGGACGTGGGAGGGACGAACTGAGAGGGGGGGAAGAGAGGGGGGTCCGGTCTCCCCTGGCCGAGCACTTTTTTTGGGAAGTCCTAGGACTAATCTCGAGAATCAGGACTCTTCTGCAGCCCCTAGGGCCCTGCCCCGCCAAAGGTAGGGGAGTCACACTGCTGGCTTGAGGGAGCGGAGCTGGGGATGGAGAGGATGGTTGAGGGACGGACAAGGGAACGGGGATGATCAGGGATGGAGTCGGGGAAGCCAACCAACTGGCAGTTTTATTATTGCCAGAGGGGAGAGAAACACAGAAGGGTAAGAGAGAAGCGCATGGGGAGGGGGCTGTGGGATGTTCCATGTAAGACTGCGGGGAGTGCCCGCCCACGGCTGGGGGGCCCCTTCCTGAGGCCTTACCCCTGGGCTCCCAAGCCACAGTGTGCCCAGAACAAAGCTGTCTTGTTAAGCGCTTGTTGGGGGAAGCATGTTCGGAGGGCCCCCTGGCTGTGGAGGGGCTGTTCTCAGCCCTGGCCAGAGCAGGCCTTGGCTAATGAGCGATAGCCACAGTGAGCCCTGGTCTTCCGTGACAGTTTGGACAACCCCGCCCCATCCACTCCCTGCCCAGCTGAGGCCTAGCCCTCCCCAGCCCCTTGACCTTTGGGGCATCTGAGTTTTTGTGCAGCGGTTTCTCCATGGTGTCTGTCCTCCCCGCGTGGGAATCTGCCCGGATAGAGCACACATTCAGGGTCTCCTAGGCCCCCTTGCCTGCCTCTCCCCGCAGTCAGCAGAGCTGTCTGCCGTCTGGCCGGCTAAATGGGGTCAACTAGTCTCTCTCCCAGGCCTGCTCTCAGCTCCTGCCACTCATCTTCACACGTGTCCTGCCCTCTCTTTTGCTCCTCCGTCCGTGTGCTTGGTTCCTTCCCTACCACCTTCTGTCCATCTTCAACCTGTCTCTCCCAGTCTTTGTTTTCATTCCTTCAATCCCCCACTCTCCCTTCCTCTCACATCCTGTCTGTCTGGTTCTTCCTCTCCGTGTCTCTTCTCCATCTCTATCTGGACCATTCTCCGACTCCTGGTCTCTAAGCTCTGCCATGGGTCTCTTAAACTGCTAAGTGGGGGTGACTGGAGATGAAGATGGCAGAACTGGCCAGGTGTGGCTGTGCACACCTGTAATCCCAGCACTTGGGAGGCTGACGCAGAAGTTCAAGGCCAGCCTGGGCTACACAGTGAGTTTAAAGCCAGTCTGGGCTACATAGCGAGATCCTGTCTCAAAAAAACAAGCAACAACAAAAATGGCAGAGCTAGGGAAGAACGCTGTGGGACATAACTGTTGTTAATGTTTTATTATTTATAAAAGGGAAAGGAGATCCCCCTCCCTACCCCCAACCTGCGTTTCTAAGGCTGTGCCTCTGACTTTCATCTCTGCCCTCATTTAGTGTGTGTTTCTCTTTCTCTGTCTCTTGGTTCCTGATGCTCTCTCTCTCTTCTCTCCTCTCTCTCTCTATCCTCCCTCCTCTCTCGCTCTCCCCTCTCTCTCCGTCTTTCTCTCTCTCTCTCTCATCCAGGCCTTCCCTGCCATGAGACTTGTCAGTATCTGGCAGTGGAGCCCATGGGGGCTGCTGCTGTGGCAGCTGTGCAGCTGGTGCTTGGGGTCTCCGTCTCCCTCCACGGCCCCCGACAAGAAGACAGGAAGCCAAGGGCTGCGGTTCCGGCTGGCTGGCTTCCCTAGGAAGCCCTACGAGGGTCGAGTGGAAATACAGCGAGCTGGTGAATGGGGCACCATCTGTGATGACGACTTCACGCTGCAGGCTGCCCACGTCCTCTGTCGGGAGCTGGGCTACACAGAGGCCACAGGTTGGACCCACAGTGCCAAATATGGCGCTGGAACAGGTGAGCTGTGCTCTAGGCATAGCCTAGGTATTACCTAATTTGAGCCTAACTGCAAAGAGACAGAATAGCATGATGGCATAGCCACAAGGACACTGGACATCAGGAATAACCCAACATAGTTAATTCCACAGCTGCATGACCTTAGGCTAGTCAGTGCATTCTGTGAGCCTCAGATGCACCATGTGCACAAATTCTAGTGGGTCTCTAAGTTCTTTCCTGCTGCAAACATATGCTTCTACAAAGTCATGCACAAGGGCGTCCCAGATACAGGTGACTCCTTATGATTAAAATACAGTTGGTTTCCAGGGAGGCTGAGAACGGGTAAATAATGTCTGGATGTCCAAAGAAAGCATCACAGAATCCATAGCTAACAAAATCAGATTAAAGGCCAGCAAGTAAACTAACTTAGGATAAGTTTGGGGGTTCAGGAGGTACTTAAGTGCCGACCACAACAAGATGCTCACACCACAGGGACTGTGGGATTGATGTACAGAAGTGGCTGTAACCTGCCGCTAATCCCCCATTCCCATCAGCCAGACCACTTCTGGAATCAAGGGCCACTTGTAGATGCTACATTTCAAGGGGGACAGTAGAAAGCAGCTCCCTCTCTTTCCAGGGAGTGCTGCTCAGATGTGAAAGATTCAAAAACCAAGTTTCAGAAGGAATAGCTGAAGAAGTACGAGGCTTGTTACAAAAAAGAAAAAGCTTCAGGCTGCAATTACATACGTGATGGTTGTCTTCAAATATGGCAAGGACAGTCATGTGACTGAGGGTTTTTTCTGGATGGCATCAAAGTCTAAATTTTGGAGGTCCCGCTTAATTCTAAGAGGAAGTCAGTGATATTCAGTACTGTCCATGCAGAAATGACAGGATGAGCACATGGGAGGATGTCAGGGTGAGCTGAAAGGGTCTCAGATTTCTAAGTCTTACAGACAGGGCAAAGTCCTAAGCGCCCATGCATTGATTGTGCGGGCTTAGGCAAGTTACTTCTCTGAAACCCAGTCTATTCATATAAGAAGGTCTTCTGGCAGCTCTGTTCTAAGAAAGATTAAGTGTACATGCCATGGCAGATCTCCTGGCACACAATAGGTATTTTATTAGCTATCACTGAATGGGTAGGGACTGGTCAGAACTTCATTGTTGATTCTTTGTTTTTTATTCATCCTATTAAATTCTTGAGTATCCCCAGATCACTATCAACTTCCCATCAATTTAGTCCCCTTTCCTCTTCCCCTCTAGGCTTCCTTGTACCTTCTCCACGCCTTTTTCTGCCAGGGTTTTGTGGTCATTATCATGGCCAGGTGTAAGGCCCCCATGCATTACTTCCCTTATCCTTCCGCCCCAAGCTTTTCTGTCCCCTCCCCCATGTCCCCTTCCATAGGCCGCATCTGGCTGGACAACCTGAGCTGCCGTGGGACTGAGCAGAGTGTGACTGAATGTGCCTCCCGGGGCTGGGGGAATAGCGACTGCACCCATGATGAGGACGCCGGAGTCATCTGCAAGGACCAGCGCCTCCCAGGCTTCTCGGACTCCAATGTCATTGAGGTCTGCAGAAAACGCACACATGCGCCAACACACTCACTCTGCCCAGGACGGCCAGGCAAAAGGGCTGTCAGGGTGGCTCTCTGTGGTTAGAGGAGATATTGAAGGGAGGAGATCGCATATGACCCAAGGGGATCCTGTAATTTGCATCGGTGGGAGTCTTGGAAGAGGGGATCAAATGATAGAGTTGGAGAAGCCAAGGATTTCTTTTCTTTAGTCTTAGCACTCAAGTTACTAAACTTAGCATGGGCCTCTCCAGCTTCATTCCCAGTCACCCCAGGGGCATCAGTGCCCTCTCTGCCTGTCTTCCTGTTCTGGGACATCTTCCTCTTTTTCTGTAAAACGCTCCCTCCTGCTCTGGGCAGTCGGGTCTTTCCCACCCTTGATCATGTCTCGGAGCACGGTGGGTCATGTCCTCACTCCCAGCTGCACGAGAACCCCCGCACCCCAGACTGACAGCAAGCACAGGCTCGCCCTCGGCCCTGCCTCAGTCCCATCCCGCTCCTGGGTTTACAGAGAGCACACTCAGTGTTCCTCAAGGATGGCAGAACACGGGAGAGATGCTCCTGGGACTCCTTCCCTGCTTGTGGTCCCATCCCCAGGTGGAGCATCATCTGCAAGTGGAGGAGGTGCGACTTAGACCAGCCGTCGGGTGGGGCAGGCGACCCTTACCTGTGACTGAGGGTTTGGTTGAAGTCAGGCTTCCTGGTGGCTGGTCCAAAGTTTGTGACAAAGGCTGGAGCGCCCACAACAGCCACGTGGTCTGCGGGATGCTGGGCTTCCCTGGTGAGAAGAGGGTCAACACGGCCTTCTACAGGTGAGGGGCTGCGCGCTGAATGGGGTTTGGAGGTGTTCCTGGAGCAGTGGTGCTGAGAGACCTTTAAAGGGTCAGGGGCATGGTGAGGGGAGGTCTGGAATAGTGGGTAAACAGGGAAGCTGCTGTGTTAGGAAGCTGTGTGGCCCTGAAGTGTGAGTCCCCCTAAGGGATCTGAAATGGGCTCTGTGAGGTTCCCATTTTCTCTCGTGGGAGCTGGGCTGGGCAAGAAGCGTCGGGTCTCGCTTCCGCGCACGTGATGTCAGCGGTAGGCAGGCAGATTCTCCTGCCTTGCGAGTTCCGAGCGTCTGGGTGTGGCCCAGGCTGTAAGGCACAGTGATGGCTCTTCCGCACACACGTCTAGGCCAGTGGCCGTTGGGATCCGGGAGGAGCCTGAGAACACTGGGAAAGACTGTCCGGGTCTTTGACCAGTGCCGCCCGCCGGGGGCATCAGTGAGCGCTCTGGAGGGGGGATTGGGGGGTCTCTGGAACATCCTTTGGCCCAGGCTCCCAAGCCTCCGCCTGCCTCGGAGCGTGGTATAGCGCTAGCGCCCAGGTTAAGGAAGCACACTGGCTTGTACATAGAGCGACTCTCTTCTCTGAAGCATCTAATTTGGTCATTTTGAGACAGTCTTTGGGAGGCCGGCAAATATTTGGACATCTTCCCACTGTCTCTGTATAGTTTCCTATTTTGCAAGCCAGAAATGCTTTTCCTTCAGTTCATCCTTAGGTCAGTTTTGCTGAAAGGCTTCTTGACATCCAGATGACTTTCTACGGAGCACGCCACTTCAGATGTGGTCGGGCTGCAGGGTACAGTAGGATGAGCATCTGTAATCAGAGCAGTTCGCTTTGCTTTTCTGTTGAGGCAGCATCCTGGTGCTCGTATCGAACTTGTACTGTAATCACCTAAAAGCAATTCCAGTCTTCACTTGTCTTTAATACTGATAGCCTTTTTGAACCTAAATATATTTTGAGTTAGCACTATTAAATTTGTTTCAATACATAATTTCAAAGTCATTAAAAACCCATCATGATCCCGCAAGATCTTCTTGAGTCTTGACATGATTTTCCATCTGTCCTCCCTCCCAACCTCCTACAATGAGAGGACAACACAGCTATGCCCTCCGGCTTCTTCAGAATAATGGAAAATCATTGTTAAATGCTTATAATCAAAGTCTAACCCTTCCTGCAAAATTTTTCTCCAGATTTGCACCGCACCTCTAATCATTAGTCATGAAGACATAATTTTCAACTGTTCGGGAAAAAAAACAGATCATTACAATAATTTAACCAAGGTTTTGCTATTTTATATATAATGAAATCATAGGAGATTTTGTTAGTCTTTGCAAAAATCCGGATACACTGTTCACAGCCATCTCCAACTCTTCAATTTCATATTTTCACCACAAAAAGACATCATAGTTTAGCATATTTTTTGGAAATCCATTTAGGTCCCTGAGAATTACTATATTTTTTTCCTAAATGCTTACAAACTTTCTATTCAATAACTTACTCTTGAATATTACTTATCTGTAGATTGAGAAATCTTTTTTCTCTCTCTCTCCTTCTCTCCCTCCCTCCCCAAAAGTCAGTGCATTATCTGATCTCTAGTCTTTTCCATATTTGCTCAAATTTTCCTTGACTTGGCAGTGAGACACATATGAAAGTTCTTTCAGCCCCAAGAATATACTTTATCTGGCCTGGAGACTGAAACCATTTTAAAAGAGCTGTGTGCTGTGGTCCCTTACTGTCATCTGCCTTGGGATCATACTTGTCTCTCTGTACTTATTCTTGCCCTTTCCTAATCCAAACTCCAGGTTCAGGATGGTTGGTAAGATTCAATACTGATGTCCAGCCAGGCACGGTAGTGCCTGCCTATAATCCCAGCACTCGGGAGACTGGGACAGGAAAGTTGCTGCAAGTTCAAGACCAGCCTGGGCTACATAGAGAGTTCGAGGCCAATCTGAACTACATAGGGAGATCCTGTCTCAAAAAGAAAAAAAGATGGGTCATAAGTCCAAGCAGTAGGTCATAAGTCCAAACCGTCATTAAATAGGTGGGTCTTTAAACAAGGTGTGTCTGTAGTGATTATTCCAAGTGAAGTGATAATAGCATGAAAAAGGTCTAGGGAGTCACTCATCCAGCATTTACTTATTGAGACCCTACTGTGTCCCAGTTACTGATGTAGACATCAGAAATCCCCGACCTGGTGGGCTAAGGGAAAATCAGAAAATAAGTAAAATGTAAGGATGGTAAACACTGCAATGGGTAAAAATAAACCAGGGAAGGGGTAAAGAAGGAGGAGTGGGGTGCAGTTTTAAGTAGAGTGGTCAGGGAAGGTCTTTTTGAGGAAGAAGGATCACACATGAAAAGGTGCTGGTGTGCGCACGTGTGTGTGTGTGTGTGTGTGTGTGTGTGTGTGTGTGGTGTTGCAAGGGAGGGGAGAAGGCATTTTCGTCATTCTCTAGGAGGACACTGTGGCTGGAGCTGAGTGAACAAAGGAGAAAGCATAGATGTGATATGGAAAACATGGTGAGCCACACAAAGTAGGACCACTGGGGAGACCTTGGCCTTTACTCTATGAGATAAGGAACCTTTGGAGGGCTTTGAGCAGAAGGGTGGCATCTGGCTTCCATTTTTATCATATTACTTTGGATGCTTTATTAAAGATAGACTGTAGGAGCTGGGATGGGCTTGTGCACAACCGTAATCCCAGCACTCTGGGAAGCTGAAGCAGGAGGCTCACAAGTTCAAGCCCAGCCTGGGCAATTTAGCAACTTAGTGAGACCCTGTCAAAGAAATTGAAAATAAAAAAAAAGACTAGGAATGTAGCTCAGTGTGAACATTGTGGGTTCAATCCCCAGTACTGGCTGGTGCTGGGAGGCAAGTAGTAGAAGCAAAAAGTAAAGGTAGCCATGTAGGGGTTATTATCTCTCAAAAGCTAAATAGAGAAAATGCAAGGGGATGGTGACAAGTGAAAACGGTGAAGAATAATCAAATTCTATGTGTAGCTGAAAGCCAACGGGATCTGTTTGAGTTCAGTGTGGTGTGAGACCAAAAGAGGAGTGAAGCATCCTTTGGAGGTTTTGGGCCAAGCTAAATATACAGTTGGCCTCCTCTGATAAAGAAGACAGTTGGTGGAGATGGCGGAGGGCTGAAGGTTAGGAACTTGTCTTTAGATACAGCTGGTACATTTACAGGTCTCGGCCAGGTATGGTGGTGCACGCCTATAATCTCAGCACTCAAGAGACAGAAGCAGGAGGATTACTGCAAGTTTGAGGCCGGCCTGAACTGCATAGTGAAATCTTGTCTCAAAAAGACAAAAGAAATTTTTTGGAGGACTTAAGGACTGGGGATATGGGCCAGTAGTTATATATTAGGTCCTTTAGTGTATTGAAATGGTGAGGCTAACGGTAGGCAATTAAATACATGACTGTAGAGTTAAGTTCAGTGAAAGTATCTAAAGTCCTGAGCTAAAAGTGCAGCCCAGTGCTACAGCATTTGTCTAGCGTGCTCAAGGCACTGGGTTGGATCCCCAGCACTAGGGCAAAATAGAGAGAAACCCAAGCACTGAACACTAGGGAGCTGAAATTTTCAGAACTCAGGAAGATAAGGTGAAATGCAATTAAGTGAGGTAGGAAGAAAACCAGAAAAGTTTGGTGTCCTGGAAGCCAAGTAAAGGGCTCAGAGAAGAGATTGACTGACTGAGTCAGTGATGCCAATAGATCAAAAACCATGAGAACCAAAAATGAACACTGGAGTTAACAATGTGGAAGTCGTTATTGACCCTGACAGAGACTATAATGAACAGGATATATTTAGACGATAGTAAGAGCACAAGAGTAGGAGGTTTATATTGAGAAGCCATGGAAGAAAGATCTAAATGGATAGGGGCCAAAAAATGGAATATTTTTAATGCCATATCTAAGAGTTTTATCTTTGTCTTAGTTTTAAAAAGTTAACCATGAAAGTAGTTGTGTGGGCAATAATAAAGCCAGTTTTTTAAGTCTGCCTGAGCTTCAAGTCAATAGTTTTAAGAGATGGGCCATGCTTGGGAAGTTAGAGAGTCAGTAATTATCCTTGGGTATGCAAAGTCATAAGTAATTTTCACAGAGCAGGAAGGTTTGCTGTACATATGGAATCTCATACTGAATCTTGGATCTGAAGGCAGAGGCAGAAAACATACTAAACCACAAAGGTCTTTCTTAGTGGGGACAGAGATTACAGCTGGGAGATGTTGTAGCTCTGTTTTCTCAGGTCAGGTGAGCCAGGGAGCATTCTGTGGGTTTTTGAGAATTCTCAGGATATGAGGGATATCAAAGACAGACAACTCTGTCCTCCTTAGAGGGAAAAAAGTTGGTCTGCTAGCTTCACAGGAAATCAGTGAGATTTAGGAAATGAGAAAATCAGAGTCTGATGTAGTTATCATTTTTTAACTTGTCTTGGTAGTTATAGAATTGTAAGAGGAAAAGAATGTACAAATAATAAAACTCACTCAGGAGGCTGAGGCAGGATTGTGGTGACTTCGAGACCAGCCTGGGCTACAAAGTGAGTCCAAGGCCAGCCTGAACTGCATAGTGAAACCCTGTCTCAAAAAGGCAATAAAATAATAATAATAATAATAATAATAATAATAATAATATTTACTGCTCTTGAACAGAGAATAGAATTGAGGTTCTAAGAGCTTCAGTGCCATTTAAGAAGTCACTCTTTGATTCATTTCAGTTTGACAGATATTTATCGACTGTCTCCAATTTGCCAAGCAAGGTATAAAGTGCTAAGAATAGCAGGTGGATAAATGATAAGAGAGGTAATAAGGTACCCCGTCACAGAAGGCCTGATAGGCCATGTTAGTAATAGGAAGCCATTACAGTGTTTCCCATTTAATGGGAAGGGCTGTGAGCTGACATGATCAGCTCCATGGTCCCAAAGATTATTTTGACTGCATTTCTGAGAATAGTTTGGAGAAGAGCAAGAGTGAATGAATTGGAGAAATATTTAGG